ACCAAAGTACACCAAGATATATATATATATATATATATATTTTTTTTTTTTCCTATATCGAAGTGAAATTTAAACTACATGTTTGTGATTTTCTGTTTTGTAATCCTATCCATGTAAATAATTTATCTTGCTTTTATTTCATAATAATTTAATAGAAATTGGAAAAATCCTGACTGAGTTTGTGAAATCTACTAAAATTAGGGATCATGAAATAGACATGAAAAAATCACATTCATAAGTCATTAAATCCTGAAAAGGTGAAATCTTTTGTTTAGGAAATTAAATGAATTCATAAGGAAACCTAAGTTATTAGCCCACCACGTGGTGAGAAAAAATAAATGTCTTTTTGCTTAGATGATGGTAGAAAGGTGATATTTTTGGATGTTTATTGAAAATATCAAATAGATGTGAGTGCTTAATATAAATGTGAACTGCTGAAACAAGTTATGATTGCTTTATGACCCTCTAATAACTGCTCTACGTGATGTGCTTGATGGAGTAAATTAGGGTGAATGATAACGTATATAACCTGTTTAAAGCATGTTAAGCTTTGCCAATTCTAGACAAGTTTTAACCTGTTTAAAGCATGTTAAGCTATTCCAAATGTAGACAAGTTTTATCTCCACAGAAACCAAAGAAGACAGAATTTGTTGATAAAAGATTTTTATCATATTGTTTGTACAATATCACATTTCCAAGACTGGAAATAAGAAAACAATATTGTTCTCTTAATTCACTGTAAGGTGTTATGATAAATCTATAAAAGTGAATAATTTAAAACAGCACTTGTGAAATATATTATTTAATGTTGGTAATGTAAGAACACCAAAACATGAGTCTTTTTAGAGATGGTCCCTGTTTTAAATAAATTATTTACTGGGTTATTATTTTAGCATTGCACTACTTTGAATTTTTTTTTTATAAAAGTGGTTTGAGCGAGGGATAGGGTTCTTTTTGGAAATTGTTACATATTACTTGTGTAAGTTGATACAAATACTAAACTTTTCTGTTTGCCCATGTATTTTTCTCCACAAACTCGGAACATTAACATATAGATGCAGTTTACTCCTTAACAGTTACACTTGCCAATTATTTTGAAAACTATATCTCCCCTAAACTCTTAATTTCGTAAGCATTACTTAAATAGTTATTAGTATTTAGAGTAATTGACATCTAATATTGTCACAAGTTTGATACCTGATAGTTTACTTTTATACTGTATTACTTGTAATTCCTAAATTTAGGAATGTAAAGTTAAACCAGGATATGAAAAAGCTTCTATCAAGAAATTTAATTATCAGCTGAATGACATTTTATTTGGAGGATTTTATATTCTAAATTTAAATTTTATCCAGTTAGTTGTTATTTTACTTTTTGTTATATACATTTATTTAAATTATCCTGTTAAGTAGTTTGGAAATTAAAAAATTAAGATGTGTTTGAATGACACTTATTTTCTTATTTTCAAACTTGAATAAAATATGAAAATCCAAAATCACATCTTTCATATTTATTTAGGTTATTTATCATTGCTTGAACTGTCTTTTTGATATACATGTTTATATTATGTTATTGGTATAAATTAACGAGTTTCAGTTTAGTGCAAAGTGGTATATTCTTTTTTGCTTTAAGTTTATCAAAAGCTTCATCTGATTGAAACACCGATTAAATATAAAAAACTTATTATGCTAGTTATCAACCAAAAATGTAACATATTGTTTTGTTTTCAGTTATTATTTTGTGATTTTCCAGTAGGATAAGATGCCCAGAGTGCCAATTAGATTGGTGCTTTAGCTGCCACTCCCCTTGGCATATTGAATTAACCTGTAAACAGTACCAAAAGGGAGATCGACTTGTGAAATCATGGGCTAAGAAAACTACTCATGGCCAAATCAATGCTCAGCGTTGCCCTAAATGTAAGGTAAGATATACTTTCAAGAGCTTTTTACAGCCTCTGTCAATAAATGACAATGATGCCCACTGTTTCTGCATGTCACAAGAAAGAGAGTTAGAAAGAAGGAGAGCAATAAGATACTAATGCATGTATTGGAAATAATCTTTTGTCACACCATATTGCTATGTGTATGCACAATGGTTTGATTGGTTTCTCAATTGGCCTAGCAGTCTCATGTACATGAATTATATTTTTGTCTGTGGTATTGTATAGTGAGAATCATTTCATTGAAAATACTTAAAAAATGTAATGATTCTTTATCAATTTAAAATAAGATATATATATAATAAACTAACACTTTTAAACTTTAAGTATGACATACTTTATCTCCTAATTTCAAAAGCATTCATCATAATACTGTGGGTAGATTGAATTTCAGTTGCTTTTTTCTCAAAAAAATTAGAAAGGAAACAAGAAAATCGAACAAAAATGAATTTGAAAGATTGTTAATTGAATTATGTATCATGATATCTGTTATTCGTTATTAGGGCTGACTTTAAGAGATTATCATATTTTGTAAATATCTTCCTTAGTATGTCAAAGTCTTAAAATACTAACATAAGGCACTGTGTCTTTGAGTGATCATGGATGTCATTTCATAAGATCAAGTGATATAATTATTACCACTTGTTAATGCACTTCTTGGAAGTAAAGACTTATCACATTAATACTAAAAAATACTGTAAGTGCAAACAAAAATATTCTTAATTGACATGACAAATTGCCTTTCGCTATTTCCCCTTTATATTTAGATATTTTTGTTCTAGGATAATTGATAAATTGAACTGTGCTTTATTTCATGATAAGTGATGGAAAGATCAAATTATGTACTTTTCACTTTGTTCCATACCTATTTTCTACAATATTCAAACTTCTTAGAAACTACAACTGGGGAAAAAACAACACTAACCACCCATATCCATTTTTTCAAGTATAAGTTACCAACTTTCTGTTTTGTTGACTGACTTGATGTAGGAAACAGTAATAAAGGTGCACATGTTTGTTTACCTATTAAATATATAAACTTAGTTTTCATATTATAAAGTCATTGTTAAAAATTACTTGTCTGTCACTTTACAAACATATATAACATTAATGACATGTTTTTATACAAGAATCAAGATTCTTATAGTACTCCTCTTCTCACAATTGAAACCATAAAATTGTATTATTCATCTTATTAAAATTCAACCAATCTGTAATTGAAATCATAAATAATATTCAATGTTAAACTGGTACACAATTAAAAACATTTTATTTAGGCCCATCTATGGCCTTCAAAAAGTTGACTCCTGAGGATGACGTTGTAACGTCGAAACATGTAGAGTCGTC